GACTGGCTGCATCCAAAGCAGCTCAGCACCCGCATAGCAGCATCCACCTCCCTCTTCAAACCACCAGAAAGACCCGCAGGGGTCTCCAGCCCGACCCAGGCTCCCCAATCCCAAGATGGGATGGCTTCACAGCTAGGTGGGAGGCGCAGGGCTGTGTCTAGCTGCAATGTGAACTATCCAGGGGTGGAGAGTCCACAGGCGCCCCAGGTGGGACCGTACCCATTGCCAGAGTTTTTTTCCCCATACATTGTGTGCTGCAGCCCCCAGCATCTGCTGGACTCACTGCTGTCTGCCCAGTGTCTTGCGCCAGGATCCCTGGGCTGGACACTGTGTCCAGATGCTGTCTCAGGAGCGTCCAGTTGCAGTTAGCATGGTGGTTGCAAGGGTACGCTGCTGACTCACGGTCAGTGTGTCCACGGTGGACACTCGCCCCACGCTGCCCTTTCCTGGAGAGCTGCGCGCTGCCCAGGCAGTGCCAGGCCTGTGCCAGCTCTCATTGGCACTGGTGTCCTGCCCACGGCTCAGCAACTCTCCTGCCAATTCGCGGGGCTGCAGGGAGGGTGCTTGCAAGTCGTCCTTGCCTCCTTTCATCCTGCCGGACTGCTCTGACAGGGAGAAGTGGAGAACCTGGTCCAGGCTGTTGGTTTTGATCGCTGTACCATTCTCCGGCCAGCGTGAGTAGCGGTAGAGGAGGGTGGAGGGTTGCCAGGGCAGGGGGCTGGGGGATGGAGAAAGAGAGAAAGGATGTATAAGGGGAGGGCTGGGGAGGGACGGGGAGAAAGTCACCAGCTGCAAATGTGGCTCCTGGATGAGCACACTGCTTCCCAATGCTGCAGAGGGCACGCACAGGCGTTTCCCATGGCCCGGCCCAATGCTAGTGTCACGTGCCATGCAAGGAGAAGAGGCTTGGGTTGAAAGCAGAGGTTGGGGACATAGGTCAAAGCTTATCTCTGCACAGACCGTGACCTTATGCAGGGGGGAGACTCACCTGTATCCTTCAGCTCCTTCATGCTCTTGCTGCCTTGGAGAACTGGCATCCCAGTTTTGGCAGCACTGCGGGGAAAGGAGTTCAGTGTCCCAGGACTCAGCTCGGCCACGTTCTGGGACTCTGGCAAAGCTCCACGGCCCCCATGTGGGTTTAGTAAGCTGGGCTGGGCCCCCGGCGCAGCTGGAGAACCCAGTCTCTAGCTTTTCCCACGGGGGATGCCTTCAGCCTGACTCACCTTACCTCCTCGCTCTGCAGGGTGCTGCTGTGCAATCGTCGGGAGTCCCGCCCCGCAGAGTGGATGGCCCAGAAGTTTCTGGGTGTTGTGGCTCTGGTCTTCCCCACTGCTTACTCTGTGCCTGTGGAAACGGTGGCCAGGGCTATGGTGGCCAGTGTGCTGCAGCCAGGCGAGGGGAAGGTGGAGGTGCTGGAGAATGGGGCCATCCACAAGCTGGGAAAGGCAGTGCCACAGCAGGGCACGTAGAGCAAAGGGATAGTCAGGAAAGAGCTTGACTGACTCTGTTCAGATGCTCTTCTGGGCTGCGGATGAATGCACGCGTGGGAGAGGAGCGGGGTGCTTGCACGGCTAACGTGGAGATGGAGGTGCGTTTCTTTGCATAGCAGCTGTTCTGTCAAGTGATCAAAAATGCAGGTGCTGGCTGGTGGGCGAGGAGGAACAATGTGCTCTGCTGCCTGGATCCGGCATGCGAATCCGGGTAAAAATGGTGTAATCCAGGCAATTTCTTGAATTCAGGCCTTTAATAAAATCCTATGAACGGTCTGTCTGTGCCAGCTTTGTGTTGAAATTGTGTTTGTCTCCTGCACATTGCCAGCCCAACCGCATCTGTTCGCGGATTGCGTCTTTTGGTGACACTTCAAGGAATGCACACGGGCAAGCAGCCGTGCCGTAGGCGGAGGCAGCAGAGCAGAGGCAGCCCGCAGCTGCCCGCGCAGAGGCTGCGCCCCG